CTTTTCCTTCCTTCCCCCTCTTTCTTTCTTTTTCTGTCTCTCTCTCTCTCTTTCTTTCCTTCCTTATTTCTTTTCCTTCCTTCCCCCTCTTTCTTTCTTTTCTCTCTCTTTCCTTCCTTCCTTCTTTTCCTTCCTTCCTTCCTTCCTTCCTTCCTTCCTTCCTTCCTTCCTTCCTTCCTTCCTTCCTTCCTTCCTTTCTTTCTTTCTTTCTTTCTTTCTTTCTTTCTTTCTTTCTTTCTTTCTTTTTCTCTCTCTTTTCTTTCTCTTTCCTTCCTTTCTTTTCCTTCCTTCCTCCCTCCCTCCCTCCCTCCCTCTCTTTCTTTCTCCTATTTTCCCCACAACAACAACAACTCCAAAACTGGCATTAACATGTTGGGATTCAAACTGGTTTTCCATTTTATGATGGAATGCTCAGACAATGCTCAGTTGTTTAGTGATTTGTCTGAAGTTACAAGGGCACTGTAGAAAGTGACTTGTAACCATTTTTTAACTATCCGCTTGGGGTAGTGAACAAGGACCTTGGACTAGAAAGCAGGAAAGTGTGAGTCCTTGTCCTGCCTTAGGCATAAAGCCATCTGGGTGTTCTTGGGCCAGTCACTTTCTCTCAGCCCTAGAAAGGAGGCAATGGCAAACCACTTCTGAAAAGCAGCACCAAGAAAACTGCAGGAACTAGTCCAGGAACTTGCCATGAGTCAAGATAAATTCAAAGGCTTGCATGCGCACACACAAACCACATTAATTATATGTCCCACTTGCCCATTTTTCTCCGTCCAGTAAAAATAATTGATAGGACAAGCCCCCAGATTAAATAAGTACATGGGAGAAAGATTTCTATTTATCATTTCATTTTCACCGATATAAAACCAGGCTGATTGCTGAGCGTTAAAAAAAGCCAATTAGAGCAATGAATTTTTAAAAACACACATTTGTAATAAAAATCCATAATTTAGAACAGGATAATGGATTTGAAGATGGGAAGAAGATTCTCCTAAATCAAACGCCTTTCATCCACATTTAATTTCAGTCAACAAAATATGCTCAAATGTTTAAATCATATTTTAGGCCTTGAGTTATGCAAAGGCAGGAAAAAAAAAAGTAAAACTGAGTTTTATGCTTTATTGCCTTCTGTTTCTTCCAGTGTGAAATTTTACTACACAAACTACTAACAATTGGCATTAGGGAGCTTTATTATGATCAACGAATTTTGAATGCTAATGTATATTTATTGCTCATTACCATCAGGTCACAATTAAATTAGCATGTGTATATTAAAGTCCTATTGTTTCTTTTATTTTTCTTATATGTATCCATGTATTCATAACTATGTTTTTACTTATACCTATTATCTTGTAAGCAATTGACAAACCAAATAAAATAAATAAATAAAATAAATAAAATTCTCATCAGTAATGCAAATGGGTGTGGAGACTCCTTGGCTGCAGGATGTTTTCTGTCCTGTTGCACTACTCAGGTGACCCTGAGGAGACAGATGAACCTCCAAGTGGCCTCACCGACTCTAGAAAAAAATGCAAATGACCAGCTGTCTGCAAGGAATATAAATCCTTCCATTCCTCACCATCCAGTCAGAGCTGAAGAAGCTTCTTGGATGAGAAGTGAAACATCTTCAAAGAAAAAAAAGAAAGTCCAGTTGCCTCCTGAAAAAGGCACTTTGGGGACAACTATGACCTGGATGACTGAGAATCTCCATAGACATCACGGAGAGAAGCAAGCTAATAACATAGTTGGAAAGAGGAGGAAAATAACAAAAGGTGATATTTTGGATGGTTTCAACTCTGTGGTTTATCAACATATAGAACAGTCCTTAAAAGGATTGAGGGGAGTGACAGTTTTTTAGTTATGAAACACATATTTAATATTTTCTCCTGGGAATCTCACTGGCATTTTATTCTCACAACACCAAAGTCAAGCAGGTTCCATGAATGATGGTGGACTTGATCTAAAATTTTATTTAATAGAAATCTAGATTCATGATAGACGTCTTACATTCAGATTTTGAAATACTAGATAACTTCTGAGCTGTTTAGCATCAACTTGACACAATCAGGAAATTTGAGGCATTTGTAGGCTGTTCTTCTGTTTCCTAGAGTATATGTTTTGATTTGATTTTTTTTAAAAAAATTGGCCCTCAATATTTTAGTTCTACAAGTGCCATGAAACGTGGAGGTTGATTTTCACAAATTCTGACTTAAAAACCAACTTTTATGACTATGAAACTGATTCCCTTTTACTGTGATTTTATGAAACTACTGAACTTTGACGGTCTGGTTTAGTGATTAAGGCACCAGACTAGAAACTAGGAAACTGTGAGTTCTAGTCCCATCTTAGTCATAAAAGTTGGCTGGGTGACGTTGGGCCAATCACTAGGAGACTGTGAGTTCTCGTCCTACTTTAGGTATGAAAGTCAGCTGAGTGACTTTGGGCCCAGGCACTCTCTCTCAGAAACAACCTACTTCACAAGGTTATTGTGGGGAACATAGGAGGAGAAAAGAGTATTAAGTATGTTCACTCACCTTGAGTTACTTAGGAAGTAATAAGGACAGAATTAAAAAACAACAACAAATTCAATAAATAAATAAATAAAAATGGTGTATGCATGTGTAAAGAACCTTGGCTTCAGACCATATGCGTATATTGCCTGGTGCAATACTTACTTAATAAAATGATGATACAAATCAAGATGGCAATAATGGCTCCTGTGCCCAGCCCAGCTGCAGCGACAGCTCCTATAGTGGTACAATCTCCGTTCTCATCACATGGACACACCTTGACCTTAATGATGGACATGTTAAAGAGAGGAGGGTTTCCAGAATCCGTTACAATGATTGGAACATCATATACACCAGCTTCCAAGTACATTATTCGCAAGCCAAGTTGAGCATAATCACCTGTGGGGAGCAAAATGGAGGAAGCCATGAAGAACACGTCTGTGTGGAAAAAATCTACTTTTTATGAATATCTACTGATCTGGAGAATCTACTCAGGGATGAGCTTCAAATTTTTTTAGCAACGGGTTCTCTGCCCGGTTGCTAGGTGGGCGTGGCCAGGTGGGTGTGGCCTAGTCAGCCTCCTGCACCACGGTGGGGGGAGGGGTGTTTTTGCCTTCTCCGGGTTTCAGAGGCTTTCCTTGAGCCCCCGGGAGGGCAAAATCGGCCTCCCTGGGCTCCGGAGGCTCTCTGTGAGCCGGAAATAGGCCTATTTCTGGCCTTCCCGAACTTCCGGGAAGGCCCGTTTTTCGCCCTCCCCAAGCCTTCGTGTGCGCCCTGCACTTACTTGCATCCAAAATGGGTCTTGTGGGAATTCCTGGGTGGGGTGGGCGGGGCCACCCAGGAGTGAGATTTGGGGGTTTTCTGAACTGCATACAATCTTAGCTAGGGGCTCTCCTGAACCCCTGCGAACCCCCAGCAGCCCAACCCTGAATCTACTCCTTATAAGTTACTCCCCCAAATACAGGCAGTCCTCGACTTACAATCATTTGTTTGGTGGCCACTTGAAGATACAACGGCACTGAAAAAAAGTAACATGTGGCTGTTTTTCACACTTATGACCGTTGCAGCATCCCCATGGTCACGTGATCAAAATTTGGCTGCTTGGCAACTGGCATGTATTTATGACACGTGATAACCATCGTGCCTACCGTCCCTGTCCTATGGTCCCCAATTATTAGTTCCTATTTCTTATATATAAACTTATGTTTATCCTTATTTCTATTGTATTGTAAGCTTTTGACAAAATAAATAAATAAAATAAATAAATAAAATAACCAGGGGCACGTGATCACCTTTTGCGACCTTCTGAAGAGCAAAGTCAACGGGGAAGATTCACTTAAACACAGATTCACTTAACAACCGTGTTGCTAGCTTAACAACTGCAGTGATTCACTTAACCACCGTGGGGAAGGAAGGTCGCAAAATGGGTGCAAAACTCACTGGACAACTGCCTTGCTTCATAACAGAAATTCGGGGCTCAGTTATGGCTGTAAGTCGAGGACTACCTGTATGCCCATAAGTCACCTAGGCTGAACTCTGGACAGACTCTGATAAGCCATAAAGAAGCTAATTATGATCATTTTGACAGCTCCTTTCCCCCTGTCCATTCTCGCCCAAATGGTCACCTTCCTATTTCCCAAGCATGAAAGCTGCCTCTATGGTAAATTAGAAAAGGAGGTGACTTTTAAGCAATTATGGGCAGAGGTTCATCATTGATCCTGATTGTGGCTTATGACAATCAAAAATGGAACATAAGGAAGAGGGATAATAGCTTTTCCTCCTGGGCAATTTACCGATGATTTATCCCAACTTTCTCATGATCACCCTGTGCAATTACAAGCTGAATTAAGGCAGGGAAGCCAAGAGCCAACAATTTAGCTTAAGGCCCAATCCAAGCAATTTCTCACAAACTCTCTCGCTTAGAAATGTCATCCTGAACGTGGCTCCCTTCTTTTTAAAAATAAATATGTATGTATGTATGTATGTATGTATGTATGTATGTATGTATGTATGT